AGCTTTATTTCTGAGATTGATCTTAATTTTTCTCTCCAACAGCCTTTTCTGGTGTGAAATCCTGGCTTTAGTGACGCCAACGGGACTTCAGTTCTGAGGACTTCCAGTCTTTTGAACTGCTGTTTACAAAACACATCACTGTTGTGTGATACTGTAGTACTTTTCCCTGCAAATAAGTATTATTATATCACATGCTGTCCAAGTTGAATATTTCTGCCTGTGAAATGTAAAAACAAGTGTCTTTAAAAGAACATTGCCAATAAAACTCTAAAATCAAGAACAGCTAAAGGTGAAGCTCACGCTAATACTTATCTTGCTTGTCTGTACCAAATTAAATAGCTGACCGTTTCTAAGTATTATAGTGTCGGAGTGATTGGTGTGCCAGACCTAAGATTTTATTTCTCCTTGTAGGGGTTCTGACCTCTGGCTGGACGTATAGATCTGCTTTACCTTGCATTTCCAAGATCAGGTACTTTTATGGATATACTGTTTCTGTATTTTGGATATAAAGAAAAAAATATTATACATCACACAGATTAATTAATAAATAGTCTGTAATACATGGGGCTCATTGCAGTCCACCACATTAATTCACTCTAGACTGTGGCAGTACTTTTCCCTCTCCAGACTTAACGCTAAAACCAATTGCTTTTATGAAGTCTTCTCTTGGCTTCTCTGCAGTTATGCCGTAAAGAGGAAGGTTCTGAAAGTTAAGTGTGCTGGTTGTTACCTTGGTTTGGTTTGAATTTTCTGGGGTGTTTTTTGTTTGGTTGGTCGGGTTTTTTCCCCTCAATTTTTCTCAAAGTCAGCTTGAGGTTCAAGTGCTTCTCCAGCACGTTATCTCTGTACCAGTAGTATAAGGGATGGACTGACCCAGCAGCCCAGTCCCACTCACTGCTGGGCTCTGGTGTGGTGCCTCTGCTATTGCCCTCCCAGCACATACTGGTTACTAGTCTAGGGTTAGTTGGTACCGAGGTATCTGGGAGAGAGAAAGAATGAGTACCAAAAGACACATCCTGTTTTTAATTTCTTCTTTATGAACTACACTTCTATCCATGGTATGAAGAATTAGAATTATTAAGAAGGTTTAGATTAGATGTCAGGAAGAAATTCTTCACAGAGAGGGTGGTGAGGCACTGGCACAGGTTGCCCAGAGAAGCTGTGGATGCCCCATCCCTGGAAGTGTTCAAGGCCAGGCTGGATGTGGCTTTGAGCAACCTGGTCTAGTGCAAGGTGCCCCTGCCCATGGCAGGGGGGTTGGAACTAGATGATCTTTAAGGTCCCTTCCAACCCAAACCTTCCTGTGATTCTATGATTCTATGAATTAAACCAAATTATCCAGATTTTATCACTGACCCTCCTGTAAGGATGTAATACCATTTCAAAAGCTTCTCTGAGGACAAATATCCACTGAACATGATGAGAAGTTAATTTTCAATGTTATGTTCCTTCAACTAAAGGAAGCCCTTTTCTTTAAAGGGACTGAGACAAGCAGAATCTTCAAGCTGTTACCACTGGCACTGGGGGAAAGTCCTACTGCCTCCCACTCATTGGCACACGGAGAAGCTGAGGGCTGCTCTGGCACCCCGCTTCAGGAAGAGTCCAGCAGCAGCAATTTAGGGATTCAAAGGTATATTTTCTAAAATGTTTTGCATTTGTGGAATCCATGTTACAGAAGGTATTTGCAACTCTCCTGATCACCGTTGTTCCCATTTGTAAATATCGTGATGTCTTAGGTAAATTTACTCAGGAAATATATCTTTATTTTTAGTGTCTTCATTTTGGGGGAATTAAACAACAATCCAAACCCCTAGGTTTTTGTATGAAGGAGGATTCCTTCTTTAACAAAAAAAAATCTTAAAAATGTTAATGGATATTTTTTCATTAATCTGTGGACAATATTTTTTTAAAGTTGTATTTGCTTAAGCAGCCTAATTTTACTATATTTTTTTTTTAATTTTAATGAAAAACAGATTTTAAAATATTTTTAATAAATATTTTCTTTGGGATGTGGAACACACAATGAATTGCTAAGTAGTTTTTTTATTGTCTACGAGGATGTCTGGGAAACAGCAATTCCTCTTTAAGATCTGAATTTTCACACATAAAACAGGTCAGAGGTTTCCATGGGCTTGAGGGGTCTATCCCCATGAACCATGCTGTATGTTCATGGTTTTACCCTGCACAAGCTGGTAGATAGAAAAATATATTTTTCAGAGATTTGGGTGATTGAAATTAATTCTACTAGCCTTAATAACAGTCAGTTTTGACAATCTGTTTTGTTTTTAATTTTCTTTCTGTACAAAGGAGTAAGTTCCCAGCATATATTCATGCTGTGGAATATACAATGAATGATTGTTGTTTTACACCTCTGGAGATGGACAGCTGTTGATGAGAGGGCAGCATATAATCACATTAATACAGAGGGAAAAAATGAAAATGAATTGGTAAATGTTCCCCAGGTCAGGTGGGCCCTTGGGAAGACAAACTCTGTGCATCTGAAAGTTGTGCAACTTTTTCCTCAAGAGAAAAATAAATACTGGTGGCTCAAATTGGCAATCTCTACTACATTTTTATTTAATGCTTTCTCTTCTGAGCTTGCTTTACTTAGCTAGAAAGCATTCTTCCCCTCGAGTAGTTATTAATGTGTTCTGTAGGTTTTCTTAAATAAAGAATAATATCGGTACTTAAAGTTTACACCTACGGAAAATATTTTAAAGGTATTGGTTTAAAAAAAATACAAGTCCTTAGCTACAGCTAAGCCAGTGTGGGTTGTATACAGTGTGATAGAGAGAACAAGGGCCATTCACTTTTTAAATCAAATACTGCCCTTGAAATGTTGGTTAAACTGCATGGGTATTTTGGAAAAGGGCCTTCTGCCTTGTGTTAGGAAAACTGCTGAAGCTGTCAATGTTAATTTTGTCACAACGCTAACAAACTCACCCCCAGGAAATGGAACAGAATAAAAAATAAGGGAAATGTATACTTTCCTAATTGCAACAGTGCGGCTTTTTTGCAGGTCCAGCACCAAAGGATTTTACTTCCCCAGGGACCACGCTAAGTACGAGGATGCTTCTGCTAAAAACTCAGTGGAGACCACATGGTAGCCCCAGAGCAGTGGGACAGGATTCCAGGCGGGTAATGCTGGAGAGAGCAGGAGTCTGCTGCGGGAAGTTGGGATACTGGTGACACTTTGGAAAACTGGAGGGAACAATTTGATGTACTGTGAACTCTAATGAACCAGACTCCCAAAACAGAAGTGATTTGAAGCAGAGACCAACTACTGCTTTTTCCTCAACTGGAGGATTGGGAAACAAAGGCAGAGAGATGGACGAAGCAGTCAGGCTGGAGACTAGTAATGGCTTACAGTGTGTTTGCCACAGCTGATGTATGTTTGTTTTCCACTTCTCACCTCCCTGTGCAATCTCAGGCCGCGCTCTGTGCTCTGTCCTTGTTTATATTTCATGTCGCAGCAAGAAGACAAGGTGCCATTAGCTTTTACTTGAATGGTCATATTGAAGTTATTTTCCTTTAATCTGAGGGATTTCAACCATAGCAAAGTAAAATAAAGTTTAAAAATCTGGCATAAGCAATCCTCTTAACTTGACTATATCACAGGGAAATGAAGTCAAACATTGAGTTGTGTATTGGACAATTACTGCAAATTGTTCAAATTTCTTTTCATTAACTTGTGTCAGTTATTCTCTATGCGAAAGAGAATTAATTCCTCCACATTTGGGAAATTATTCTGAAAATTAAACCTTCTGTAAAAAAAAAAAAAAAAACAACCCCCAAAAAAGGCAAAAAAAACCCCAAAATCCAAACCAAACCCTCAAGATATATTTTACCACTTTATAAGTCAGCACACTGAAGACTTATTTATTGTGAGGCACATGAGTAATCCCTTCCCAGCTAGTAAATGCATTGTGGCATCAGACGTGCTGCTGAGCTCCCAGGGCTGGATGGAGATTTGGATGTTTCAGCTAAGCCGTGGAGACTGACCCTAGATATGAGCTTTACCTGTCCTAAATACAGCATAATGTCCATTAGCCTAAGCATTGTAGAAAAAGGCTTTCCCCACATTTGGGATGGGTTGAGAAAGCACACCTTGTATTTTCAGCTTAGCTGAAATACTGTTACTTCTTAAGCTGCAGGAACTCGACTGTACGGCTGAGCCTTAAGTACCTTTATGTAACTTCAAGTACAAGCTTATGCGGTTTGCTGAGGCAGGGCTTGCATTTTGAAATTAAGGCTAACATTTATGCGTGTGCTTAGTCTCAAGCGCTGTCAGTACTCACATTGGACTTGGATTTTTATCAATTGAGGGACTAAACTGTGAAGAATTAAAAAACCTAGTGGCAGTCTCAAGCGCTGTCAGTACTCACACTGGACCTGGATTGAGGGACTGAACTGTGAAGAATTAAAAAACATAGTGGGATAGTCTCCTGTGTAAATGTAATTCATAAATATTTGCAGAATCAGGTCTGCAGGTTTGAATATGTCCTATAGCTATTTTATGACTTTGACAATGTTACCTGTTCATTTTGTAACTTCTATATATTTTTTTTTTTTTTACTGATACTGTGATTGAAATTAATTTTCAAATTTTATTCTCTCTTGCTCAGGGAAAAAAAAAATATCTATACAGTGTTAACATGAATATTGACCACGAGGTGAGTAGGACCCTCTTTTTTGTCAGAAGTTTGCTTGTCAGCATGCTGTGATAGATCAGATGTAAAGAAAATCACTTCTGCAAAACCAATTTGCTAAGGGGCTTGTAAAATCCATTTTTAAAAAGTTACTGAGGCGAAAAAGTGAAGGACCAGCCAGCCAGATATTTTGATCGGTTCTTCAAGGTCAAAAACTGATTACTAATTCATCAAATATCTTACTGGTAGCACTGTTTGAAGAGCAAACAAGTCTGTGCAGATGTTCTACCTAATAACTCTAATACCATGGAAAGATGGGTAGGGTAGGAACAAACAGAATTTTTTACTTACTTTTGGCAATGCTACAGTCATAGGAGCTGTGGTCTTCAAAGCACTGGCAGCCCAGCTCAGTACATTGTCCATTGCCATTACAGAAAGCAGGACACCGGAGGATGGTGAGGATTTCCTCCTGGGTAGCAGATGGCTGATTTCCTACACGAAATACACTATTTCTGTTTCTTAGCACTCTTCTTTCACATTCATTTTCCAAAAGGGCTATCAGTGCCCTCACACAAGCCACGTCATCTTTGAGCTGCAGATCTAAAAGGCATATGTCAGTTGCCTCATCCATCTGTTTTCCAAGGAGACCTTTACATGCTAAGCCAATGGTGGAATTTGCAAGAATTTGGTGACAAATCTCCTGAGCTTTGGCAGCAGTTAGGCCATTGGGAGTGGGCCATGCCAGTGGAATTTTTGTCCGAATCCCTTCAAAGTAATCCTCTGGGAAAAAATATGCAATGCTCTCTGAGTCTCCCTGGCTCTGGATATGTAACGAGTGAAAGGAGGAGTATTCATGATATTCTTCTTGCCTTTTTGCTCTCCTTAAGTCTTCTGTTGTTTTGGTAGAGTTAATGGAACTGTTGTTTTTCAGGAAACCATTGTGTGTGAGGGGTTTTAATTGGTTCTCGGGGCTACCTCGCTTTTGGACTGATTTAGGCAGGTACCTTTGACCAAAAGACTTGGTTGATGGTTTCTCTTCTTTTCTTAAAGTGGACTCTATTTCTGAGTGAGTGACAAACTCTGATGTTACATCTAGATATGGGATTGCAGAGGTGTAATCCACATGATCATAATGGCAACCAGAAGATGGAGGGAAAAGAGTCTGGAAGGCACTCCGTGTGTTTACCACAGGCATGGATTTAGTGCTGTCCTTCTGACATCTGCAGTAATTTTTCCTTTGCTTCCCCTCAGAAGGGGCTGGAGTCTTGTCAAATAAGCTCTTCCCTGGAGGTATTCTGATGTAAAAATAGAGAGAGATTAGAGGAAGGCAACTTTCAACAAATTAGTCTGCAATACCAAGAATACTTTCTTTCCCTGAGGCTGGGTAATGTGTAAATTCCCAATCTACAAAAGTACTTAACAAAATGATTAAGTTTAATCTCTGTTTTCTTTAGTCACTTTAGCACTGCCCTTCTCGAGTTGTCCTGTACATTTTTTAGCACTACATTGGGACTTTTTAGTAGCAGATGCTTAAGTGCTTTGCTGGAGTGTTGCCTAACTGCTTGACTTCTCTTCGCAGAACTTTCTTTAAGGTGCAGGTTACCGTTTGCATATTATGCATTAAATAAGGCCTTGGGTTTGTCCCTGGTGTGACTCAGGTACAGCTTGGAGAATGACAAACACAGATGTATTTTTTTCAAATGCTTTGTTATGCAAACCATCTTTATCTATTTACCTGTGGTCTCCTTACCAGGTTTTTCCTCTAGGACTTGAATCACTCAGTTTTTCTTTTTAAATGTTTTTTTTTCCTTCAGAATTTTTGTATGCAGACTTCATTCTTGAATTCTAATGGAGGTTTCTATGATCTTTTCTTTTGACACAAAACAATTTTCTATTGATCGTAGGGCTAAGATATAGGTAAGGTGATTTCCCCCCCCTCCCCCCCTTTTTAATTTAGTCCAACTTTTAATGATGGATGAACTTATAGGGACTTCAGTTCAAATAAGTTCACTTTGAATGAACAGCCACGATTATAGTTTCTTCAGAAATTTCATGAGCACAAGGTCTCTTACTGATCTTAGTTGTGCAGCACAAAAGGAATCCTGGAGCTTCACAGAAAAAGACATGCTTCCTGTCCCAGTTGTTGGCAGAACACTATTTGCAGACAAATTTGAACTATAACCAAAAAAAATTTAAATTATTTTGGCATTATTTTGTCTTTCAGCAAGAATATAGAGTTTTCAGAAAAATGAAAGCCTTTGACAACATTTTAAATCCAGGCACTAGATACTGTTGTAGGAAATGTGATTGCCTTTATCTATTTTTTTCCAATATATATTGAAAATGGCATATATGATATTATTATTATTTTAATAATTGATACAATACTAATTTTTAAATAAAGCACCATGGTGACACAGGTAAAGTGAATGAATTTCTCCTCTGAAACATGAGCCCAGACATTTATGAAACCATTTCTCCCAGTGTGCAGGCACAGCAGAATACAATATGGTATGACAGGACAGCTTTTGTGCTCACAGAACTTCACAAGCTGTTCTGAGCTGTCCTACAGGTTAGGATATTAAAGCACATTTGCTGATTGAGGGAGTACTGAAACACCTTATAGTCCTTTGGACAACACCACTTTGGTATTTGAGTGGGCAGGTGATGCTACTTGCAGCTGATGCTGCTCAGAGTCACGTCATGAACTAACCATAAACCTAACTTAAGGCAGCAGAACTAGCTCTTTCTTTGAGGAAACACTACAAAAACTAGAAGCTCTAGGTAAATAAATAGAAATCACATAAACTGGTCCAGAATCAGGACAGAAACTTAGAACACAAATAAAAATTTCAGCAAAATGAAAGCCTCTTGCCTTGGTATTTTACTGAAAGAAATTTCTTTGTGATTCCTATGTGAAACCAAA